CGCCGGAGTGGTACCTATTTATCTACTTGCACTTTGACGTGCTTTCAAACTGCTAGATTGGCAGGAGCAGGGACCGAGCAACGGGAGCTCACCCCGTCACGGGGATTCGAACCGCCAACCTTCTGATCGGCAAGTCCTAGGCTCTGTGGTTTAACTCACAGCGCCACCCGCATCCCTTCCATCCTACTGATACATGGTGGCAATATTACAAGTTAATCAATCAATCAATCAATCACCTTCAACACAAGCATATCAAGGCAATGTACAGGCCAGGGCTGAGAGATAAGAGGCCACCTAAAGCCATCCACACTGGAGAATGCGTTTGAACTGGGGCCTCCTACAGACACGCACAATTCCTGAGTAAACTACAGGAATACAGGTGTGTACATATATGCACTATGAACACAAAAACCAGATGTTACACACAGAGTTCGATTCTAGTGGGTGTTGTGTTTTCACGTCGCACAGCAATGCTATCGGTGATGCACCCACAGTGGCCCAAACAGTGATGAATACATTTCATTAAAAGTTTGATTAATTGCTGCTTGCTCGGTTTCCATTACAGGCGACAACTGCTGCGCTTGGCGTGGCATGCACAAGCTGCGTAATTTGGAACAGACTTGCTTTAAGCCACTTTAGAAATCCATGTTGAGACTGCAGATTACAATAAGCTGCAATTAACCAATTTGATAGGAATGCCAAAAGGCCGCAGTGGTTGAAGTTTTCCATCAATGGACTCCAGCGTATTTCGGGAGGGTGGGGGAAAAGAACAGATTTTCAATGGCAAAAATATTGTCAGAAAAATACCCAAGTTTTGTGAGTATGTAAGTTGCACAAGTAAGGAAGTTGCACTGAAAGCCGGTCTGTTTAGAAGATGGAGCTCAAAGCATCTGGGGGTGTCATCCGGCTAAAGTGCTTTCCTGACCCACTGATTTGGTAGAGTTAAGCCAGGTTAGGAACATAGAAAGCTGCCTTACACTGAGTCTGACAGGTCAGCTATGCTGACTGGTACGTGTTCTCCAGGCTTCCAGACGGAATTTCTCCCCATCCTGCCTGGAGATGCCAGGGATGTTAAGAGGCTCAGGTGCTAATGTGAAACCTTAACTTCTTGATCTGTGAATGACCCTGCTTTGTGAATGCACAAGCTTGGGACTGCAAACTCCCCACTCCCCAATCCCCTTCTCTTTCACAGCCACATGGAGGAAATTCACCTGCTTTCAAACAAGCCACGGTTCCTCATCATGCCTAAATTCAGGAACTGTAGCTTAATTAAACTTTAGCAAGTGAACAAGCCCAGATCAAAAACCATGGTCGATCCTAACCAAAGTTAAAACAAACCACCGTTCCCTGACTTCAGATGCAATGAGGAATTAGGCTAATTCAAAAGAAAAGTGGTTGCTCCAACTTCCTTGCAGGTGAAAAAACCCCAAACAAACAGGGAGGGAGGAAGAGTATGTTTCTTTCCTGCGCTGTATGAAAAAGTACTTTCTGTGTGTGTCTAGTGGGGAGCAGACGTACAAGGGGCAAATGTTTTCTAGATGCTAAATTCCTTCTCCTTATAACACACAGTGTTACTTCACCTGTTGTCTATGGCTAAACTGGCTCACTCTTTTCAGTGATGCGCTGCACTTTCCCAGTTCTTGCTTTGTGCTTGTGACACAGACGGTTGTGTTGGGTGTGGAGCACCCTTGTGGAGGGTGCATCGAAAGTGGGCATGATCAGGCGGAGACCATACTTCATCCTGCATCCAAGAGTTTCAAGGTCACACGATAGCCACAAAATATCTCTAGAGAGGGGCAGGGGGCAGGACCAGAGAAGGGCGTGGCATGGAAAGGGGCGGCCAAGTCAAGAGTCCTGAGGGCCAGACAAAGAGGCAGAGAGGGCCACGCTCAGTGCCTGGGACTGACGTTTCCCACCCTATCCTGGCCTGGTCTGGGTGGCAGAATGTTTGCAAACACAGGGTATAGCTGTGCACCTTGAATGAGCAGATTATGTTTCCTCTGCCTGTATATCCCACTGTGCTCCTGTATCTGGGCTGGGTTGGCAGTGCCAATCTATAACTCTCCTCTGCCCCCTCGCCTGCAAGCTTCCACCCCTCAACTCCCAAATTCGCCACCCACCAGAATTTTGTCTTTCAAGAGCAGCTAATGCTGCAGTTACTGCAGCCTACCTGCAAGGAAAGCGACAACCTCCAGTTGGCTGTGGTAGTCTTCAATGTGTTCAGACCTGGGACTCATCTTTCACCCAAGCGTGCAATTGGGGATCCATTTAAACAAAACAAAACAAATATTTCTATGGTGGGAGTGCTGCTGTGGCCACCCATCTTAGATCCAGACCCACCAATAGTTTGCCGAACCCCCGATAGGGGTGCCACATTTGTTTGCCTCGGAGGTCATGCCTGGGCTGAGCTGCAAATGCAGTCGTTCCGAGGTTCCAATCCACGTTTAACTACGTGGCTCGTGGGGAGGCAAACAGTCATTGCCCTAGCCTACCTTACAAGGCTGTTGCTGAAAGGCTAAACTGCCACCCTGAGTTTCCAAGAGGAAGGGTGGGAAGCAAAGAAGCAGAAGGCAGTCCAAAAGCCCCTGTGCCCCTTACGTGCCCAAGCAGTTCTGATTCCCCAGTGCCAGCGAGAAGGGGCCAGCCTTGCACTCCTGTTCCTCCTACACACTTACACACACTAGTTGTGTAGGGTTTTTGCAGGCCTTACTTGTTGCTGTCCCGGTACTGATAGATGTAACATCCTTGTGGCATCCCGCTCTCCTTGTCCAAAGTAAACGAGAGTTTCAGCTGCAGAAAGGAGGAGAACGAAAGAAAGGAAGGAAGGAAGGAGGGAGGTGGGGGAAAAGAGAAAGATTTTTTTTAAAAAAAACACACACAACCACATTTAGGCGATGTTCTCAGCCGCGGCAGCAACCCCATGAAAGGCTGAGGGGAGAGACCAACCTCACCAAGGCTGACACTCAACCGCTGAGGCCTGGAACATAGAGCAGGGCTCCAAACCTCAGGGAAGACAGAGTCACATGCCTTGCAGAAAAAGCACTGGCTTTTTCCACTCCTTTGTTGCTATAAAGTGTTTGCGGTTCTCCCGAAATGGCGTGGGTCATGACAGCTCCCTCCCCCACCACCATCAAACACACTCCAAATCCACCACCCACACACATCCACGGCCCTGCAAGAAGCTGCTCTCCGCCTCCTCTGGGGTACAGGATTCTCCCCCAGCGGCCGGACTTCCCACGAGCCTCTTTCTCTGAAAGTTTCTGCCCTGCGGCCCTCTAAGCACATTTGGGAGGGAGAGAGAAAGAGAGAGGAGGAAAACCACAAAGGGAAAGGCGACAAATTCTTCCTTTGGCACAGAGTTAATCCAAAAGCCAGTTGGAAGAGCTTGCAGTTTGGCCCCATGTCCAGCAGGGGGCTGCACAGGGTGACCTGGAAAAAACGTGGGGAGCCCAGGAGGGGCTGGGAGGGATTATTTGCTGGAAATCCAAGAAAGGGTTTCGGAATAGTGGGTCAAGTCCTGTGTTATCTAAGGCCAGTTCATTTGAGGCAGGGAAAAACTCATTTGGCTACTACACTGAAGAAGAAGAAGAGGAGGAGGAGGAGGAGGAGGAGGAGGAGGAGGAGGAGGAGGAGGAGGAATGGAATTCAGTACAGCTCTGCACAGATTTTGATGAAGGACAGTGGAGTTTCTGAGCAAGCAACTCACTAATAAACACACATTGGGGCTTACATAGAGGGCCCCCCCCAACAGCAGGAATGGTTTGAAAGGGAAAGGGGTGAAGAGGTCTGGTCTAAGGAGAGAATGAACCACCCACTGTTCCTACACTTATCGCCCTAAGCCAGGGGCTGTTGAACATGCCGCTATGCGGATGTTGTGGGACTACATTTCCCATCATCCTGGGTCATGCTGGCTGCTGGGAGATGGAATCCAGCAACACCTCGAGGGCCACAGGTTCGTCAAACAGATGAATCGAGCAATTGAGCCAAGCCACACAGGGACAAGAGTGTCAGGAAGGAGGGAAATGCGGGTGTGTGCAGGAGAGAGAGCGCCCAGATTCTCAGGCCCATTCAATCTAAGCAAAAAGCCTTTCTCCAACCCAAGTTCGATGCTCCGACAGTCCCTGAGAGCAGCGCTGGGCTGGTCAATTGTAGGCATGGAGGAAGCTGCCTTCTACTGTTCCACTGAACTCAATATTGTTGACTGCGACTGATGGTGGTTCTCCAGGAGCTCAGGCAGGGGGTCTTTTCCTACCTCACTTGGAGTTCCTGGGGATCGAACCTGAGATTTCCTGCATGCAAACTCCACCAGTGAGCTGTGGCCCTTCCCAGAGGAGGAGGAAGAGTAGCATGTGTGTTTGTGCGCGCACACACATGCCATGTTTTTGAATGCTTCACCACATTAAAATAAAAACCCAGGGACGCGGGTGGCGCTGTGGGTTAAACCACAGAGCCTAGGACTTGCCAATCAGAAGGTCGGTGGTTCGAATCCCCACAACAGGGTGAGCTCCCGTTGCTCAGTCCCTGCTCCTGCCCACCTAGCAATTCAAAAGCCCGTCAAAGTGCAAGTAAATAAATAGGTACCGCTCCGGCGGGAAGGTAAGTGGTGTTTCCGTGCGCTGCTCTAGTTTGCCAGAAGCGGCTTAGTCATGCTGGCCCCATGACCCGGAAGCTGTACGCCGGCTCCCTTGGCCAATAAAGCGAGACCAGCGCCGCAGCCCTAGAGTCGGCCACGACTGGACCTAATGGTCAGGAGGGGTCTCTTTACCTTTAATCTAGCATATCAGGGTTGAAGATAGAGCATAGCCCTTTCCCTCATGCACTAGTCTATTAAATGCAGGGAGGCTTTTACTAGAAGGGTGTGTGAGAGCACCCTCTGCGCTGTCTGCAGTGAAGCAGCCCAGAATCCTACCACCTTGGCCAAATGCTCGCCAAGGGTTCCCTACAGATCAGGATTCACATTGGCAAATGAATGGTCTGTCAAACTAGGGGTGGCACGCATTGCCAGCAAGATAGCTCAGTTGATAAGAGTGTGAACTCTTAATCTCAGGGTTGTGGGTTCGAGCCCCACGTTGGGCAAAAAGATTCCTGCATGGCAGGGGGTTGGACTAGATGACCCTCGTGGTCCCTTCCAACTCTACAATTCTACGATGTGCCCATTTTGCATGTGTTCAATTACCAGCCCATTCGGCCATGCTTTCTGATCTTAGCACAAGAGACATGAAAATGCACATTTTAAATTGCACACATTCCCCCACCCCAAACACATTTTTGCAGCATCTTTTTAAGCCGAGAACAGAAACACAAAATTCAGAGCACAATCTGCGCATTAGTCTGGGAAGCAAACACTGGAGTAGACAACTTCGCTTACAAGTGCAAACCAAGTGAAATTCTCAAATAAGCCTACTTCAATCAAAAGCCTTTCCTGCAGACACAAAACTGGTATGTCAAGGAGCACGTTCCTCATTTATCTTCTCCCAGACACATTGGTCTTGTGTGAGTGGGAATCTTTCTCTCCCCCCCCCCAATTCAATTATAGGAGTCCTGTCCCCCACCAAACACTCATGGCCTCCAGGGAGACTAACTACTCTTAGAGAAGAAGCTCTTTAGGACTGGATAACCTCTTGGCAGTCTGCCTTGCGTGAAGAGGGAGATATTCTGATCTAGCCTGATGAGGTGTGGCGGAGATGCTAATGAAACGGCTTTCACAAGGAGGACTCCTGGAGTGAGCCACAGTTGCCCTAAACGCTTCTGGACATTCTGGAGAATGGACGGCAGACCTGACCTTTGCAAACGAAGCAAACACCACAGAGAGACTGGCTTTATTTGCAGAGAGTTCCTGGACCCGAAGAAAACCCGAGAAGTAAAATTAACAGCCTATGAAAGAGCAAAGGCTTTATTAAGTCACCCTTCCACCAGTGGGCTCTTTGCACAGCCAGCATGCCGGCTCATTAGACGCTGAGCCAATTCGCACTCCCCTGCAAGGCAGCAAGTGGAAATCGAAGCAGCCGAGCTCCCCTGACCCTAATTAAGACTGCCCAAGGTGCAGCTGCTGCAGAGTCCACACATCTCTGCACAGGTGCAAACCTGCAATTTTATTCAAACCCGGCTATTTGTGTACCAAAGCCCAATACACCCACAAGCTGGGTTCTCCAGTTTGTTCCGATGCCTCAGCCTCATCTGGTGCAGGTCGATCAGCCGCAACTTGATGTCGCGCCACTGGGATTCGTCAGAAACCCTCACGGGACATCCAGGCAGGTTTTGCATCGGGAGCAGCCTTGGGAGGAGGCCCTGTGGCGAGCTGGGCATTTGAATCCCTGCCACCCTGGAAAGCTAGACCAGTTTTCTCATGGAGTAATGTAAGCCACATCATAGGGCAGGGGGAGGGGAAGCTCACACCATCCAGTTATTCTCCAAACCAAAAATAAATATAAAATTCAATTTAAATGGGGGGGGGGAGGTCTGCCATGGAGAGTAGACATGCTGGGGCTTGTGAGGTCTGACTCAGAAGGAGGAAATTTCTAAATGTTACGATGCTAAACTTGCAGGCTGCGGACCATAATGAGTGACAGCAATTGGTCCAGCAGCCCAACACCCCACCCCGTATTTGTGGGGGTCCAGGTCCAAGTGAGCTCTGACAAAAGCCTCCGAGGAGGCCCCTCTGTTCACAAAGGCAAAGTTCACTGCTGCTTCTGCGCTTGGGGACCGCAGAAAGGACAGCAAGGCGAGGCCCTGCTGGATCCCGTCACGGCAAGCTGTTTCTGGGATATATGCCTGCCGTCATTTTGTTCCGTCAACTTGCCACCAGGTTCAACTTGCGGCAGGGAAGAGAGACACGGAGCTCATCCATCACCCGGCTGCATTCTTCGGAGGAGAGCGCTGCGGCTCAGCAGTCTCCGTGCCTGACAAATCGCCCTTTCCAGCTCATTGGCACTGGGCACAAAAGGGCCGTTCTTCATGCCGGGGGGGCCGGGGGGTGGATTCGGTGGGAATGAGGGGGATTGGGAAGGCTGAGAACAAGAGAGGCTCACCTACCCAAGGAGGCTCACTGATAAATTAAGATGTCATAGGCCCTTGAATAAGAGCTGCCAAGAAGACTAGTTGGGATTTCTTGAGGATGGCAAATGCCTTCAGCACCACATGAGCAGAAAAATGCCAGAGGTGGCTTGGGGGGCAGCTTGGCTTGGCAGGAACATAACCAACGGTGGTTAAAGTTAGTCAAACATAAGTTTCTAGGTCTCCATTTTTAAACGCTCTCCTGTCCACAGGCCTGTAACCTTCAGCACACTGTCAGAAATAAAAGGAAGTCTGACGTTCTTCCAATTTGCATCGTCTCTGTCTGGCTGCATGGAAGAAATTCCTAGCCCACTCCTGGTGAACAGGTTGAATGCCTACTAACAAACTGAGGCTCACTTCCCATGTGTTCTTACGTCAAAGTTGTGTGGTGTCACATGCTGAAGATCAGGCCCTAAAACAGGGTGCATTCCTTCCTCTCAACTTATCTCCACCTCCTAGTTTTGTGGTCCTGCGCAACAGACCAGGGTTGGGGTCCTCATTTCACCTACAAGCAAGCATTGAGGTGGTGGGAGAAATCGTATCGCTGCCCTGACTGAGAATTCAACAGGGCCATTAAAAGGTGTGATGTGTTGTGAGAGGTATCTACCCTGTCCAGCAACATCTGCAGGGCCAAAGGTGAACTGCCTTTGCAAGAGAAATACCTGCCATGTAGCCTGTATCTCAACAGCGGAGTCAGAAGAGGCAACGGGTGGAGGAAAAAGGGATTAGCCAGGCTGCCACGGGTTGAAGATTGTTATGCATTTTGGAAGAATGTGTTCTGATTTTAAGGTACTATAGGTCTCGCTAGCTCCTGCAGCAGGTTTTGAGAAAGGGGGTGTGGCTTATCTTTTGCAAAGCTCCATGCACATGGATGACACCCTAAGGGCCCTTGCCAAGACTCTGGAGAGCCACTTCCAGGCAGGATGGGCAGCAAAAGAAGCATCCCATGCGCATGGGGGCAGGGGCCACAGCTCAGGGGCAGAGCATGAACTCTGCATGCAGAAGGTCCTGGGCCCATTCACTAGAAGCGTGTACATTTAAAATGAGGCTACATTTTAAATTGCATTTTAACCTGTATTTTAAATTGCCCCCCCCCCTATTATGTTTTTACTGTAATTTTACTGGTGTTAGCAGCCCTGAGCCCAGCTCTGGCCGTGGAGGGCGGGGTATAAATAAAATTTGTTATTATTATTATTTATTATAGACGCTGCTACTGGAGGAGACTCTTGAGACTCTGGAGAGTCCCATGGACTGCAAGAAGATCAAAGCTCTCCATTCTTCAGGAAATCAGCCCTGAGTGCTCACTGGAAGGACAGATCCTGAAGCTGAGGCTCCAAGACTTTGGCCACCTCAGGAGAAGAGAAGACTCCTTGGAAAAGACCCTGATATTGGGAAAGATGGAGGGCACTAGGAGAAGGGGACGACAGAGGACGAGATGGTTGGACAGTGTTCTTGAAGCTACCAGCATGAGTTTGACCAAACTGCGGGAGGCAGTGGAAGACAGGAGTGCCTGGCGTGCTCTGGTCCAGGGGGTCATGAAGAGGTGGACACAACTAAATGACTAAACAACAACAACAACAAATTATAGACGCTGAGCTAGGCCTGATCTGGTAGGCGGCAGCGTCCGACTGTCCCTAGCATTTCTAGGCACAAAAAGATCTTGAGCAGGGCAGCTTCTTTTCGCTCATGATTGCAAGAGCTGCTTCTAGCCAGAGCAAGTAAACCGTTCTGCTGTCCAGCAGCTTCAACCACCCCTATCTGGATGACGATCTGCTTTGCTCCGCTGACCAGCGAAAGGTTTAAGTTAAAAACATTCTGGCCCCAAGCCTGCTTTTCACTCGGCTGTGCCTGCCTTCAGTAAAGAACATACGAACTTTCCCGTAAGAGAAAGGGTTTTGTCACAGTAACCTTGGCTCTGCGCCCAGGGCAACCTTTTGCACTTGACAGAAATATAAGCATGTCTTTCCTAAAGGCACGCCAGAGTGGACACAGCAGAGCATCTTTCCCCGCATGAATGGAAAGCGAGAAGGTGGCTGAGTTGCAGCCCCGGGGGGGGGGGGCAAAACCCACCCTTTTGAAAAAGGGAAGTGTGATGGGGAAACATACAGGTGCCACACACTGGACAGATACCAAAACACAGGGCTGTGTGTGAGCCCTGGGGTTCTGTGAGCGACACCACCAAAGCTCATAATCTGATACAGAGTATAAAATTCAACACTTCTACCTCAATAAATTTTTTTAAAGGAGAGGTTCTAGTCCCTATGGCTGTGAAACCAAACTTAAAATAGTGGGGGTGGGATGATGAAAGTTGTATGAAACCTGAATGCTTCGGTGACTCTTTGTCTTGCTCTGCGCTGGGCTTGAGAGCGGATTTAAATGCAATTCATTTGCATAATCAATTTGGGTCCCCCAAATTCAGCTTTTCATCGGATGGAACTTGGGTTCCCCTGCAGCTGATTTTCAAAACTTGCTTAAGCTCAGAGCACAAAGAGCCCCATTTATAACCCTTCTCTTTATGAATGTGCTGCTTCACTGGAGATTCAACATGCCCCCCCCCCCCCCCCGGTTCAGCGGCTGTGGTCATGGTTCACAGGCAGGATCGCAATTTTTTTGCCAAACATTTTCTTTTCCATATATATAGATATACGCGCATGCCTCCAATATAAACGGTGCTTTTAGAGCCACTTGCAAATCTAGGAACTTTGACGTCACTCTTCCTTCCACCTACTCAATCTTGACCACAACAAAGAAGAGTGGTGGGAAAGTTCAGATGGAAAACCGGCCGCCGCGCGCCAAGCCTCAGCCAGAGGAGAGGATATTTATTAGGCGATCCAGCGCAGGGCAGCAGTTTGCCCATCAGGCTGACAGAGCCCTGGGTTCAAACTCCAGCCAAAGCTTCTCGTCGGCTGTCGTGCCCGCTTTGCATCATCAGAGAGAGGCGCACGAGGGACGAACCCAGAGGCACTGCACAGAAATCTAGGGGGACTCTCTTCCCTGGAGCTCCGCTGAGGCTCCCCAAACAT